AAAAAAAAAAAAAAAAGAGGGTGGGGCTGGGCCTCGGGGCGCAGGCCTATAAATCCCAGAAATCTGTGCGCTGAGGCAGAATTCCAAAAGTGGGCTCCGCCTGTGGTTGTAGCTAGGTGAGCACGAGGCGGAGTTCAACACCTAGTATGGAAAAGAAGGAAGGGGGTGGGAGATGTTCGATCCCCGTTACTAGGGGAAAAAAAAAGGTAGGCTGTTCAGGGATGGCAACCATTTCTTGTCTGTGGAACGTAGTCACGTAATTAGAAAGTTTATCCAAATTTAACCTCCCCAACATGGCTCGTTTCAAACTATAGGTAGTAGAGCACCTGAGTTGCAGTTCAGCCAGGAACCTCGTTTTCCAGCTCACGTTTCTGCCCGAGAAAGAGGACCAGAAGACCGGAAGTTGCGCGAGCTGCGAGGCGGAGCGAACCACCACTCCCTTCCTCACGCTGGCCGGAAGACAAAGGCGCAGCCTTTATAAGGGTCCCCCTTTAGTTCCTGTTGGGCATAGTTGTGGAAGCAGGAGTAGGTGTGTGGGTCTTTTACGGCCCTGCGCAGAGCGAAATGCCAGGGGGAGGCCGTTGCCCGGACTGCGGCTCCGCTGAGCTCGTAGAAGACTCGCACTATTCGCAGAGCCAGCTGGTCTGCTCCGACTGCGGCTGTGTGGTCACCGAGGGGGTCCTTACCACTACCTTCAGCGAGGAGAGCAACCTCCGAGGTACTGTACTTGTTCCTGACCTCTCGCGGGTTTGGGGCATGATCTGGGGCAGTGGATCGGTGGACCTCAGGTTTCTCTTTTCAGCTCCCTCTTTCCTTGTCCTTTGCACATTTGCTTGGTGGACGGAAGGAAGGAGGTTAGGGGCTGCCGTTCACGTTTTCTAGTTCGGCATCTGGCGTACATACTGGGTATAATAAATGTTGGATAAATGAAGCAGAAAGAGTTTGGTCAGTGTTGAAAGGTTGTGGGTAAATTTTTTATGAATACAGCACATGCTGTTAACCTCAGAGTAGCACTAATTGGCAAAACAACAACAAAAATCCCTCCTTTTTCTTTGCTTTTCAAGTATCTGACCAGGGCAGCCTTCAGAATCTGTGGCCGAGAAAATTACCTAGATTGAATGTAAGGAAATAGGACTGAAACTTTGGAATACTTGGAACTGCTTTAAGTGTGGGACTAACCTTTAATTTCTGTGTATTTGATTCCCCTTGTGGAGGTAGGAAACTAGATGGGCTTTTTCTTATGCTTTCATGGGCATCGTCTGTGGGGCAGGGAACAGAGACGCAATGAATGATGAGAATTCTGCTCCCTAGCCTTGTGTGGTGGGAGGGCAGGGTTCTGACAAATAGAGGGTAAGCTTGCTATTTGTTGTTTGCTGTCTTACAGAAATAACATATTCTCGAAGCACGGGGGAGAACGAACAAGTTAGTCGCAGCCAGCAACGAGGTGAGACTCATCCTTTTATGACACAATGGTTTTAAAGGAAATTATCCTAGTGGCCCAGCCTGTGTGCTTTCCTTGTTTTCAGCATTACTAGTATAAGGGAGAGTAGAAGAAACTAGCAATTAGAAATCAAAATTGTTGATGTTTCTGAGAGTGGTAGCTATTCAGTATGTGTTTTGGGCTTGCACAGGGATATGGTTTTTTTTTTTTGTACCAGGGATTGAACTCTGGACCTTGTGCTTGTGAAGCAGGTGGTGAAACCACTTAGCTAATCCCTGGCCACACAGGGCGTGTTTGAGAGGAGCCTGGATAAAACTGGCTTCAGGGGTGGGGAGGCCCTGGTTTGATTCCCAGCACTACAAAAAACAAAAACAAACAAAAATATAAGCAAAAAAAGAAAAAAATCATATGTTCTGTTGCTATAAACAGGTGCATTATTTGTGTCTCTGATATCTGTAACATTTAGCAGAACTAAATTAAGTTATAGCAGATCTTCCTAGGTTGTGCATACTAGTTCCTCCAAACCCTCTAACTTTAGCTGTGGGTTTTCCTAGGTCTCCGTCGAGTGAGAGATCTCTGTCGAGTTCTGCAGTTGCCAGGAACATTTGAGGAGACCGCTATCACCTACTACCAGCAGGCATACCGGCACTCTGGCATCCGAACAGCCAGGCTGCAGAAGAAGGAGGTATTGGTCGGATGCTGTGTTTTAATCACCTGCCGGCAGCATAACTGGCCCCTAACCATGGGAACCATCTGCACTCTGTTGTATGCAGACCTGGATGTGTTTTCTGGTGCCTACATGCAGATAGTGAAGCTCCTGGGGCTGGATGTGCCATCTCTGTGTTTGACGGATTTGGTGAAGACTTACTGTAGCAGGTACCTGCCTAGTGGGAACACTGGGATGGATGGGTTTTCGTATCTGAATCATTCTGCCTGGATCTATCTTTTTTTTCTCTCTCTCTTTCATTTAAAAGCTTCAGCGTTCATTTAAAATAATGTGGGAGAAAAATCTATTCTCCGTATCCTGTGTCTGCTTACCAGTAAGGTTGATACTGTTGTACATTTCTAGAATACTTAATTTGCACATCTCTTTGCCTTCACAGCAACCTAATGGTTTAAGAAAAGCAGTTACTAGCCTTGGCATAGGGCTGCTGACTCACTCTTGTGTTACATGGTCTATGAAGGGCACTTCTTGGAGTTACACAGTGTGGAGCATTGTGGCTAGGGGTCATCTGTGGATGAAGCCGAAGGGGTGTTAATTAAAGGCCGAGCTGGGGTTAAAAGCTGAGCCCTTTTTGAAAAGTAGCTATGTTCTTTCTTGTTTCTCCTAACAAACACAGTAGAAAACAAAGGCCGTTGGTGTTGTCAAACAGCCTCTGGTTTGGAGATAGATCACAGAGTGAGGGCCTGGGTTCAGTCCCCAGCACCAAAAGAAAAATAAATTTCTGAACCTTGCTTACTTCCTAGCTGGGTGACTAGGTGTAAGATTTTTCAACTCTAAATGTGTGAAATAGCATAGAATTTTAAGTAAGTTAAATGAGAAGGTTGTAAAGAACAGCGGCAACGGGGAGGTGCTCGACGGCTGTTAGTGCCTTGCTGTTGGCTTCTGCCCTTCCTCTGACCTAGAGAGCACTCGCTCTGTTTTCTTTCGTGACCTCTCTGAATTTGCTGCCCAGTCGATTCAGGGCATGGCTTCCCCATCTCGAGTGGACTGTCCTTCCTCCCATCAGGGAGCCCTGACCTTTGTTTCGGTTGTTTCAGCTTCAGATTGTTCCGTACCTCTCCATCTGTGCCAGCCAAATACGTGGAAGACAAAGACCAGATGCTTTCTCGAACCTTGCAGCTGGTGGAACTGGCCAGTGAGACGTGGCTGGTAACTGGGCGGCATCCCTTGCCTGTCATCACCGCTGCTACTTTCCTGGCGTGGCAGTCTCTGCGGCCTTCGGATCGGCTAACGTGTTCCCTGGCCCGATTTTGTAAAATGGCAAATGTGGATCTGCCCTACCCGGCTGCCTCGCGGCTGCAGGAGCTAGTAGCTATCTTACTTCGGATGGCTGGGCAGCTGGCCTGGTTGCAGGTTCTGAAACTTGACAAACGGTCTGTGGTGAAGCACATTGGCGATCTTCTCCAGCACCGCCACCTACTGCTCCGAATGGCCTTTCAGGATGGATCATCAGAAATGGAGACCGAGAAGAAGGAGCAACAGAGGCAGGGACAAGGACGAGGAGAAGAGGAGGTGGGGCACAGCGCCTTGGATTTGTCTAAGGGGAAGCGACCAGCCAGCCCTGCACTTCTTCTCCCACCCTGCATGCTGAAGCCCCCAAAGCGGACCTGCCCCACGCCCCCCGTCTCCACAGTCACTGGAGATGAGAACATTTCTGATAGTGAAATAGAGCAGTACCTGCGCACCCCTCAGGAAGTTAGGGACTTTCAGAGAGCCCAAGCTGCCAGCCAGGCTGCCCAGAGTGTCCCCAACCCTCCTTGATGCATACCCATCGGAGGTACCTTGCCTCCTTTAAAGCAGTGTGCTAACGATCCCATGAAGTAGGTGCGCACAGGACAGAGGTGCACGTAAGTACCTGGATGTCATCATTCTTGTTTGAAGGAATCGAGAGGGCTGCTACAGATAGACCGGGGTCGTGGAGAGAAGTTGGGAGGAGTGTATGCTGTGGCTGGGGAAGACTCCTGTCCCTTGGCTGGGGGACAGCAGGTTGCATGCATTCACATTCCTCTTAAGACTTGGGGAAGATGGCTGGGCTCTCTCTTGCCCCAGTTTGAGTTGAACACTTACTGATGATTCTGCAGGCTTGGTGGGGCTTTCCTGCTGTTTGTGGAGCCACTGGCATTGGCAGTGGTGTTAACCTACAGCGTCGCGGGAGCTGGGAAACTCTTGGCCTCTGGAGGGCAGTTGTGTGCCATGTGTGTATGGTGTCGTGAGATCCTCTACAACTTCATTAGTAAAAGGACAGTAGGTGGACTACGGCTATAGCTGAGGGCTTTGCAAATTTTTAATATATTAAAACAAGAGACATCTGCTAGAAAACATTCTATTGTATAAAATCCAAGCTTTTAAATACATGCTTTCTTTGGCACTTTTCATTCCCTCCCTCCCCGCTCCCCAGCGTATTGCAAAAAGCTCTCCAGTGCTAAGGCATTGGCAGGGTGTGTAAACAGCAGCCAGCGTATGTGGAAGAATAATACGAAGCTTCCCCCCCAATACTGTCTGTGCAGCAAGCATAAATAACCTGGGTCCCACGGCTCTTCACAGGGTCCAAGGTTCCCTCCACTTGCACTTGGTCCTGTAGCAAGACTGGTGTTTGCATTTTAGGTTGGGAAAAATCCGGGTGCTGGTGTTTTAGAGTACTGAAGGCACAGATCCTTGAGTGAAGAGACCCCAGTCCCTGCCTCAGGGCTTGGCTCGGGCTTCTGTGGGTCAAGAAGCTGGAGGTTTCTCCCTAATAAACTGTCCCTGGAGTTTGTATTAGTGGGGTGGTTCTTCCATATTGGCCTCACAGAGGCAAGGAGGTGCTCTTCCTCTGTCCCTCCGTTTTGGAAGGCGGACTCTGGGTCTCCTGACTGAACTTCAGTGCTTCTCCAAACACCACCTGCAGCGACAGGTGGAGCCGAACTCGGAGCACTGTTCGTGCATTCCCGCCCGGGTCCAGGTGGGGGCGCCCTCCACTTCGCTCAAGTCACCAAGCACCGGGCAGTCAGCTTTGCAGGAGGGCGGGCAAGGCTGCGTTCTGAGGTGCCTCCTCAGGCCTGTTTGGTTACCAGTCACGGAATGGTGTCCCCTCTAACTGTAACTGCCTCCCACCCGCCTGGCTCCTACAGGTCTGGCTGATCGCCAGGTCTGCCCTTCACACCGCCCACTGTCCCCATGGGCGTAGTTAATCTTAAGAGCAGCGCCAGTGAGTGCCACCTGGGCCTGGCAGTGGCTCCTGTGCTGGGATGGCTCACGGAGCCAAAGCCTGGGGAGCGTGGTTCCCCGAGCTAGGCCGGCCGCAGAGGGCCTGCGGGCCCCGGGCTCCTGTCCCGTCTTCCCGGGGAGGCTGGCACAGAAGCCCGCCCTGGCTGTACTGCTCCTCCGCTCAGCTAGGAGGGCTCCTAGAACTCGACCTTAAAACTGGCCTGAGCTGGACGGAAATGTGTATCACGTGTGTTTCTGGGGTCGTCGCTACAGCGGAGGGTGGCCCTGCGGGCCAGCGGCAGACAACCGCCTCCTCTT